ATCTGGTATTCCACCAAATAGGCAAGTGGAATTCACTATAGACCTAATTCTCAGAGCGGCACCAGTGTCAAAAGCCCCATACCGAATGGTCCCGAAGGAACTACAAGAGTTAAAGAAGCAGTTGCAAGAACTCCTAGATATGGGCTTTATACGACCAAGTGTATCTCCATGGGGTGCGCCGGTGTTGTTCGTGAAGAAAAAGGATGGAAGCATGAGGATGTGCATCGATTATAGGGAGTTAAATCGATTAACTATCAAGAATAAGTACCTACTCCCAAGAATCGAGGATCTGTTAGATCAACTGAAAGGAGCTAAGGATTTTCCAAGATCAACTTACGATCGAGATACCATTAATTGAAAGTAAAGTCAAAGGATACACCTAAGACAGCTTTCAGAACTCGTTATGGACACTATGAGTTTATAGTGATGCCGTTTGGGCTAACCAATGCACCTGCAGTGTTCATGGACCTGATGAATCGTGTATTTCATCAGTTGTTGGATAAATTTGTCATAGTCTTCATTGATGACATTCTGATATATTTCAAGAGTAAGGAGCAACATGAAGAGAACCTAAGAATAGCATTAGAGGTATTACATAAGGAGAAGCTATATGCCAAATTCAAGAAATGTGAGTTCTAGCTTGAACGAGTTGGATTTCTTGGACATATAGTCACTGCCCAAGGGATTGAGGTAGATCTAGTGAAAGTGGAAGCAATAACCAACTGGAAAGCACTAACTAATGCTGGCGAGGTACGGAGCTTTCTAGGATTAGCAGGATATTATCAGAGATTCATGGAAGGATTCTCCAAAATAACTGGATCAATGATGCAGCTTACAAGAAATGGAGTAAAATTCCAATGGATGGATAAATGTGAACAAAGTTTCCAAGAACTTAAATAGAGGTTGATATCAGCACCCGTGTTAACAATACCTGAGGGTACGGAAGAGTTTGTTATATACAGTGATGCATCTAAGCAAGGATTGGGATGTGCACTGATGTAGAATAGAAAAGTGATTACCTATGCATCAAGACAATTGAAAAAACATGAGCAGAACTACCCGACGCATGATTTAGAACTTGCGGCGGTAGTACACGCCTTGAAGATATGGCGATACTACTTGTATGGAGGGAAGTACGATATCTACATAGATCACAATAGTCTCAAATATTTATTGACACAGAAGGAATTGAATATATGACAAAGATGATGGTTGGAATTGTGAATGATTATGATTGCACTATTCATTACCATCCAGATAAGGCTAATGTTGTGGCCGATGCCAAGTAGAAAATCAATGGGATAGTTGGCGTCACTACCCACTTTTCAAACGGAGTTAGTCAAGGACTTGGAAAAGTTACAGATCGAAGTGGTTACCATACCAGGACAAGTCACTGCTCATTTTGCAACTTTGATAATTCGACCTACTCTTAGAGATCGAATTATAGAGACACAAGGTAATGACCCATTCTTGTTGAAGATCAAGAATGAAATTGGTACTGATAAGAAAAAAGATTTTGGAATAGCTTCGGATCAAGTACTGATGTTTAAGGGGAGAATTTGGGTGCCTAAAGATGAAGTCTTGAGAAACGAGATATTGAAAGAGGCCCATTCTACCCCGTACACTTCACATCCCGATGGTACGAAAATGTATTGAGACTTTCGAGATACATTTTGATGGAGAAATATGAAAATAATTATAGGGTTGTACGTGGAAAAGTACATGGTATGTCAACAGGTTAAGGCAGAACACCAAAGATCAGCTGGATTGTTAAATCCACTAGACATACCCGAATGGAAATGGGAAAATATCACAATGGACTTTATGGTTGGAGTCCCAAAGTCAGCAAGAGAAAACAACGCTATATGGGTAATAGTGGATCGATTAACAAAGTAAGCTCATTTTCTTCCAATGAAAATGACATTCAGTTTAGACCAATTGGCACAGTTGTACATTAAGGAGGTTATGAGATTATACGGCGTACCTGTGTCCATTGTGTCTAACAGAGACCCAAGGTTCGTGTCCAAATTTTGGAAAAGTCTACAAGGAGCTATGGAAATGAAGCTAAACTTTAGTACTACATATCACCCTCAGTCCAATGGTCAATCTGAAAGGACCATCCAAACTTTGGAAGACATGTTGAGAGCATGTGTTTTGGATCTAGGGGGTAGTTGGGAGTCATACATACCCCTACTAGAATTCGTATATAATAATAGCTTCCAAGCAACTATTGGGATGGCACTGTATGAAGCTCTCTATGGTAGAAGATGTAGGTCCCCTGTTCATTGGTATGAAGTCGAGGAGAAGAGAGTTTTGGGACCAGAAATAATTGAAAGGATAGTTGAAGCAATCGATAAGATCCGTGCAAGGATAAAGGTAGCACAGGATCGATAGAAGAGCTATGCGGATACAAGGAGGAAGGATTTAGAATTCAAAGTTGGAGAAAAAGTGTTTCTGAAAGTAGCACCGATGAAAGGTGTACTTAGGTTTGGCAAGAAAAGAAAGCTACGACCCCGCTATATCGGACCATTCGAGATACTTGATAGGGTCGAAAATGTAGCCTATCAGTTAGCTCTGCCACTTGGGTTATCGACAGTGCACAACGTGTTCCATGTATCAATGATGAAGAAATATGTGCAAGATCCTAATCATGTAGTGAACTATCAGTCCGTGGAAGTACAAAAGGACTTATCCTATGAAGAGGTACCAATTAAGATATTGGATCGAAAGGTGTATAAACTAAAGAACAAAGAAATTCAATTGGTCAAAATACAATGGAATAATCATGAAATAGAATAGGCCACTTGGGAAGGGGAAGAGGAAGAAAAAAACAAGTATCCAACACTATTCGCCCAATCAGAAGGTAAATTTTGAGGACGAAATTTTAATTAAGGGGTGGGGGATGTAGAACCCCAAATAATTTTAAACACCTTAGTGGCACTAAGACATGAATATTGGATGGTTAAAGTATACTTCAAATTTTTAGTCTCATTTGACACCAATTTATAACATAGAAAACATTCAAATTGGAAAATAATATCTAAAGAATAGTTGTAGCTCTTTGAGTTAGCTTTCCAATGCACTTTGAATTACCTCAATTGGATATCGGGAGAAGAAGTTATGATAGAAATACTAAAAGCTGTATAGTATCAACCGAAGTATGCGGAATATGAAAAGTCAAATTCCTACACGATTTTCTAGCACCTTCTTAAACCTATAACTTCCACATAAATGTCACCCGTATTAATGAGTATTAGGCCCTTCACTTGCCCTTAAGTTGTGAGATTTTCACCTATAAGTAGGCCTCAATGCGTGCACATTTTTCACAACAAGACAAAAGCTTCTAAGCATAAAAGAGAGAGTTTTCAAGTCTAAAAAAGAGAAAGGAGAGGGAGAAAAATTAGTTTTTCCTAGAAGTTTAGGTGCTATCAAGAAGTGTTTTCCAAGCATCAATTCTCACCGGTGTGTGTTTTTTTTGAAACATCAAAGGAGTGCATTTTTCAACAAGGTTCAAAGCATCAATCAAGGTAGGTAGAAGTGCAAAGTGTTAATTCGCGTTAAGTTATAAGTTTCTAGCAAATGAAGATTTATGTTAATGTTTGTATGTCTAATGGTACCTCGGTACGGCATACACTTCCATGTCTAATGGTACCTCCGGGTACGGCATCTACTTTCGATCGAGGCGTCGTGTTAAGTCATGACTCTACGTGTTTGAAATTCAACCGAAAATCCTACTATGAAAAGGTTTCTAAAGTTACAGCTTTGAAATGTATAGCTTGATCATGAATGCACCAATGATATCTATTGAGTTTTTTTAACTCACGGGTTTAACCCCTTCTCTACAGATTGATATGATTCTACCTTGGGTCTGGATGATGGAAAAGATGGAAAGTGGTGCAACAAGCCCATGGAAAAACCCGGTGAACTAGTTATTTAGATTTATTTTTGTGAACGTTTTCAATGTTATTTCTTTAAAGTATTTGAATAACGCTAAACGGGAGAACAAGTTGTGTTTTTTTCAAATAAATCACATTCCGTTATTTTTTATTCAGTGTTTTATTTAAAGTATTCGAAAGGTTGTTGTTAAAATTATCATTGTAAAAATTAAGCTCCCACTAAAACATATTCTCCTATGACTAAACCACCGATTAGTTAAGTAAAGTAACTAGCGTTCAGTTTAAATTTCAAACAGTTTTTCCCATCCAATTGAAACTTGACAACAATGCAAGAGTCAAAAAACGTGTCAAAAATCAGTGTACAAATAGCAAAGTTCAATCGGTAAGAACCTTGCTATATGTACACTATAGTGTACACTTTAGTTTAAACTTTGCCACGTGATATTACACTGCTGAACAATTTAAATTTCAAATCATTTTCACATCTAATTGACACTTAACAACAATGCAAGTGTCAAAAACTTGTCAGAAATCAGTGTACAAATAGCAAAGTTCAATCAATAAGAACCTTGCGGCATGTACACTCTGGTATACACTTTAGTTTACACTTTGCCATGTGATATTACCCTATTGGATGATTTAAATTTAATACAGTTTTCTCATCCAATTGACACTTGACAAGAATGCAAGTGCCGAACAACATGTCAAAAATACATGTACAAATGGCAAAGTCCAATCGGTAAGAACCTTGCTTCATGTACACTATGGTGTAGACGTTAGTTTACACTTTACCACATGACATATCCCGATTGAACAGTTTAAGTTTCAAATAGTGTTCCAATCCAATTAACACTTGACAACAATGCAATTTTCCAACAACGTGTCAAAAATTAGTGTACAAATAGCGAAGTTCAATCGGTAAGAACCCTGTTTCATGTACACTATGGTGCACACTTTAGTTTAAACTTTGCCACGCGACACATCCCTGTTGGACAGTTTAAATTTCAAATATCTTTCCCATCCAATTGACACTTGACAACAATGCAAGTGTTAAACAATGTGTCAAAAGTAAGTGTACAAAGAGAAAAGATCAATCGGTAAGAACCTTGCCACATGTACACTATGGTGTACACTTTAATTTACACTCTCCCACGTGACATTACACTGTCAGACAGTTTAAATTTCAAACAATTTTCCCACCCAATTGATACTTGACAACAATGCATGTGTCAAACAACGTGTCCAAAATCAATGTACAAATAGCAAAGTTCAATCGGTGAGGAACATGCTACATGTACACTATGCTGTACACATTAGTTTACACTTTACCACGTGACATTACACTATTGGATAGTTTAAATTTCAAACAGTTTTTCCATCCAATTGACACTTCGCAATAATGCAAGTGTTAAACAACGTGTCAAAAATCAGTGTACAAATAGCAAAGTTCAATTGGTAAGAACCTTGCTACATGTACACTATGGTGTACACTTTAGTTTACACTTTGCCACTAACACTACCCTAGTTGACAGTTTAAATTTCAAACAGTTTTGCCATCTAATTGACACTTGACAACAATGCAAATGTCAAAATTCAGTGTACAAATAGTAAAGTTCAATCAGTAAGAACCTTGCTACATGTACACAACGGTGTGCACTTTAGTTTACACTTTGCCACATGACATTACCCTATTTGACAGTTTAAATTTCAAATAGTTTTGCTATCCAATTGACACTTGAGAATAATGCAAGTGTTAAACAATGTGTCAAAATTCAGTGTACAAATAGAAAAGTTCAATCGATAAGAACCTTACGACATGTATACAATGGTGAACAATTTAATTTACACTTTACCACATGACATTACCCTGTTTGACAATTTAAATTTCAAATAGTTTTCCGACCCAATTGACCCCTGACAACAATGTATGCGTGAAACAACGTGTCAAAAATCAGTGTACAAATCGAAATATTCAATCAGTGAGGACCTTGCTACATGTATACTATGGTGTACACTTTTGTTTACACTCTGCCACGTGACATTACCCTGTTGGAAAGTATAAATTTCAAACTATTTTCCCATCCAATTGACACTTTACAAAAATGCAAGTGTCGAACAACGTGTCAAATATCAGCATAAAAATTGCAAAGTTCGATCGGTAAGAACCTTGTAACATATACACTATGGTGTACACTTTATTTTACACTTTGCCACACGACTTTACCCTGTTGGAATGTTTTAATTTCGAGCAATTTTCTCATCCAATTGACACTGGACAACAATGCAAGTGTCAAACAACGTGTTCAAAATTCAATTGATAAGAGCCTTGCTACATGTACCCCATGGTTTATACTTTAGTTTACATTTTACCACGTGTCATTAACCTGTAGGACAGTTTTAATTTCAAACAATTTTCTGCCCAACTGACCCTTGACAACAATGCAAGTGTCAAACAAAGTGTCAAAAATCAGTGTACAAATAGCAAAGTACAGTTGGTAAGAACCTTGCTACATGTACACTATGGTGTACAATTTAGTTTATGCTTTGCCACGTGACATTATCCTGTTTGACTATTTAAATCTCAAACCATTTTGCCATCCAATTGGCCATTGACAATAATTCAAGTGTGAAACAACGTGTCAAAATTCAGTGTACAAATAGTAAAGTTCAATCGATAAGAATCTTGCGACATGTACACTATGGTGTACACTTTAGTTTACACTTTGCCACGTGACATTACCCTACTGGACAGTTTACATTACAAACATTTTTCCCACCCAATTGACACTTGACAATAATGCAAGTGCTAAACAATGTGTCAAAAATCGGTGTACAAATTTCAAAGTTCATTCTTCATGAACCTTGCTACGTGTACACTATGGTGTACGCTTTAGTTTACACTTTGCCATGTGACATTACCCTGTTGGACAGTTTAAATTTCAAACAGTTTTCCCAACCAATTGACAATTGATGACAATGCAAGTGTCAAATGTGTAAAAAATCGGGGTACAAATTGCAAAGTTCAACTAGTAAGAACCTTGCGACATGTACACTATGGTGTATACTTTAGTTTACACTCTACCACGTGACATTAACCTGTTTCACAGTTTAAATTTGAAACAATTTTCCCTTCCAATTGATACTGGACAATAATGCAAGTGTCAAACAACATGTGAAAAATCAGTGAACAAATAGCAAAGTTCAATCGGTAAAGACCATGCTATATGTACACTAAAGTGTACACTTTAGTTTACACTTTACCACGTGACATTACTCGGTTGGACAGTTTAAATTTCAAAGAGTTTTCCCATCCAATTGACACTTGCTAGCAAAATAAGTGTCAAACAACGTGTAAAAAATCAGTGTACGAATAGCGAAGTTAAATATGTAAAAACCTTGCTACATGTACACTATGGTGTACACTATTTTTTACACTTTACCACGTGACATTGCCCTGTTGGACAGTTTAAATTTTAAACAGTTTTTCCATCCAATTGA